TGTCCTGGTTCATCATGCGAACTTCCTTGAAAATTGTTAGTGTCCCTAAAAGTCTTGCTAACTCTCATTCACTCTACTTGAATTCCCCATGAACTCAACTGTAACAGCACTAGATATGCTTTTCTTTTTCTGAAAATAGTTTTTACCTGGAAATTCTTTTTTGGAGCATCGAGAGTACTAAAAAATTTTTTAATTTAATTAGGTTAATTCATACAATCATTTTTAAAAATAATATTTAATAAATTTTAATTTTAATTTTAATACTTACAATATTTTTTTCTATTCTTCGACTGTGATTTCTTTGTAAAAAAAAAAAAAAATTCTATAGCAAAATATGCTGGTATATTATTCATTTGGAAAGACAACTAATTCAAACTTTTTTAAAAGAAAACTATGGCTAAACTTTACAGGAAAAAAGTTTCCTTGACATTTTTCTTTTGTGTAGTGGGGGAGAAAATCTATGATGTGACTCTATAATTTGTCTCACGTTCTAGATAATTTGTTTGATATGTCAATTCATGTGCTCAATGTACTGTACAACAAAACAACTGTGTGGTTGGTTGCTTGAGGACAACTGATGAGATAGACCTGAGATGCTCAAACAAGCATTTCGGCCTTGTTTTGGTAAGACATGAAACAGAAACTCAAGTTTTTGTTAAGGCTTGTTTCAGGTACTCCCAAGCTTTTAACATATACGAAGTTCAAAATCTAAAAGTGTGTCTTGCCTCCTTTTCTTGTCCTTTATCTTGTTAACTTGAACGTTGAAACACATTTCAAAATATTATTTACGGCATTTCGTGATTTTTTTTTATGATAAATTTGACACATTCTGCATTTTAACTTTTAAGAACCCTCGCAGTCATCAAATCAAGAATAACATCAAGAAAATGAAGCTAAAAATCTTTAGATACATTTAAGAAGAGGTTTTCACAACAATGGTAATGTTAAACTTTCACTGTCAAAGCAGACAAAGGCAACTGGTTCAGAGCCGCACCAATGTTCAAGATTTAACCATAGCCACCACTTCTTTTAGTGTTATATGAACAGCAACTATCATTTTTCACTGCAGTTCACTTTAAGTTAAAACTCACAATCTAAAACAAGTCATGTGATACGAATATGAAAATAAAATATAAAAGTAATATATTTTAAAATTTTAATAATAATTATATATAAATTTAATAAAATTAAAAATATATATTTTTTAATTTTTATTATAATATAAATTATAATACGTAATTTTTATATAAAATATAATATAAATATATAAATTTTAATATTTTATATAATATAAATTTATAAATTATTTAATTTATTTTTAAAATAAAAAGATATAAAAGTGAATGTAATTTTTTTAAATTAATTCATATAATTATTTTTAAAATATAATATTTAATATATTAAAAAAAATTTAATAATTTCTTCATTTATTTTACATTACGATGTCATTTATAAAAAAATCCGTCAACTTTTTTGCAGACATTTGTCCAATCATTTGTAGTTTTTCATCGAGGAGTCGATCAAATCTTTTGATATAATTACAACTATCAGATGCACTTTCAACTTGCTCTGATGAATATACTTTTTTTCATCTAACATTTTTTTTTATTCCCCTCTTTTTAAAAAGATTCACTGTGATCTTGTGATCTTGCCAAATCACTTTTTATTATTACCTTACTTTGCATTAATAAAAGACTGTCGGCAAAGACTTAGAGAATTCTTGAATGAATGATAGGTTTGGCTCTTCCCTTTGCATCTGTTCTTTTTTGACCCCATACTCGGGACCTTCATCACCAATAATTCAAATCCTTCCCCTACATTTTGAATATTGTAATTCAAATCTTGAAATAAAGGAAAGAAGATTTCATTTTATTGTATAATCCAATATTATATGTATAATATTAAAGTAATATTATTTTATATCTAATCAATATATAAATTTTTATAATTTTATATTTAAATAAGATTTTTTCATTTATTATTAATTACTTATTAAAATAATATAATATCATATCTAATAAATATTTAATTTTTTATAATTTTATATTTAGATTACACCTATTCACTTACGGCCTATTAATTTTAAATTAAACGTTTAATATGATATCAAAGTTAAAATTTATTTTTATTATTATTTTTTAATTTATTATATAATAAACTTTATTTATTTTTATTTATACGTAATGAAAATTTGTTAAAATGAATTATCTCATATTTAAAATCTTATATTCAGATTGAACCTTTTTATTTATCAAATTAATTTTAAGTTAAATATTTATTATGTAAAAAATATTTAATATGTAATCATGCTTTAGACATAATACATAGTCCAATGCTGATTTTTCAAATGGATTTAGTGGATCATTGGTGAAAATAATTATAAGGTTTTATTATTTTTTCTTTATCATAATTATATGGTTTTTGAATGGACCAAAGAAAAAGCGCAAGTGTCACGGACCTAAGTAAGAGTCTTGAATCTTACATCAAATATAATAAGAGGGTCACTGGGGTATAAAAGAGTTCACATCACTTCTGTCTTGTGAGGCATCTTTTATAGGATAAAACCGTGAGGTCAGGGGGCCAGAGTGGACAATACCTCACAAGGGTGTGAACCGTGACGATTAAGTTAATCTGGGACGCCGGATGAATGGATGCCCGGGTCCCGAAACCGTACGGATCGGAGTTTAAGTCTCGACCCGTAACAAGTGGTATCAGAACCAGGCCTAAACCGTTCGATCCACGTCAAGCATCTCGAAGGAAGTAGGCAGGGTGGCTACCTTCCATGACGAGGACGTCACGAGATTAAGTGGGGAAGAATGCCACGGACCTAAGGAAGAGTCATGAATTCCACATCGCACATAATAAGATGGTCACTAGGGTATAAAAAAGTTCACACTACCTCTGATTTGTGAGGCACCTTTTGTAAAATAAAATCGTGATGTCAGAGGGCCAAAGCGAACAATACCTCATAAGGGTATGAACCGTGACTGTTAGGTTGATCTAGGACACCGAATGAGTGAATGTTCGGGTCCCAGAGTCGCACAAGTCGAAACTTAAGTCTCGACCCGTGACACAAAGACTAAGCTCATTAATATTGTATCACACAAAGTTTTCATTTTTTGGAAAATATATACATCTGTATCAGTTTGACATATTATTTTAAATATTTTTATTTAATATAAATATATTTATATATTTATATATACATGGATTTATATATTATAATACTATTAATAATATGCAAAATAAATATATAATTTTTTAAAATTAAATAAACAAATTTAAAAATATAACACATAATTTTATTAATTTATGATGTTATTTTTAAACATTTAATCTATTCATATTTAAGAATTTTTTTCATATAAAAATATATTAAGATAAAAAAAAGAGACGAAAAGAAATTAATTTTAACTTAGAATTCTTAAACTTTAGAAAATGAGCACAATTACTTTCATGAAAGATATTAAAATATTTATGAATTTTGATTTAAAAAAATAAAATGCATAAAAAACAAGTTGCAATAAAAAAATAAAAAAAAACTAAACTTTCAAAAGTTATTTTGTTCATTAATTTTTATTTTCATTAGATTAAAAATAGTTAAAAATATAAAAAGTAAATTAAAAATTACAAAATATATTTTACATTCATATATCGATTGAAACAAATTATTCTATCAAACTAACAAAAATAACTAATATTATTTGATACTAAATTCAATAAAAAAAACTACCCTTAATTATATCATATTTTGATACAGTTAAAATATACTAACCAATACAAATGATACCAAAATTCAAAACGAAGTTAGCAACATTAACAAGAACATGGTCACTTAGTATAAATATGTTACAAAGTAAGACCCCTTATAATTGTTTTGTCTTCATTAATTTTATATGTTTGGAAGCACTATTAATTTGGTGATCATATCCAATCATCAAAATCACATGTCACATTGTTTTATAGCATCTATATATTTATAGATAAGTGATTTTTATTTTTTTACAAAAAAGATTGTGATTTAAAATTAAAAAATTATAAATATTAAGATTTAAAATTTAAATTTATTAAATATCATCAATTGTATAAATTAAATTTTTTTTTTTGAAAATTTCTTGGTCTTTGGTCTTGTGGGGTTAGTAACTTAATTTAGTGGACATTGACACATTGTTAAAAGATTATGGCAGAAATAGAAGAAAATGGAGCTCCCCAAAGACTAATTTAAAAGGTTTAATGATTATTATTATTTTTAGATTTGATAATTTAAAATATTATATGATATTATAATATAATTATGATATAAAAATAATATATATATGATATAATTTAAAATTATAATAATAATTATATATAAATTTAATAAAATAAAAAATATTTTATATTAATATAAATTATAATATATAATATTTATATAAAATATTATATAAATATATAAATTTTAATATTTTATATAATATAAATGTACGAGCGGTGACGTCTAATTCTTTTTCTCCGAAACCTTCAAATTGATTTGCGCCAGGTTACGGTCAAGGCCCACTAGACAAAATTCACACGCACTCTCCTCCCGCATCATATGGTGCCACATTTAGATAAGACGGCTAGCATTTTCCCATTCCACTAAAGGCAAATCCTTTTTGACCCTCCTATCACAACATTACAATTATATCATATAAAAATGGAAAAATTATAATAGTCCAGTTAATGAGGGAATTTTTATGAATTAAAATTAAATAAACATCAAATTTTTTAATATTTTATTATAATTAATTAAGTTTTTAAATATTTATTTTCACTTTAATTAAGTTTTTATTGGACAAAAATTGATTAATATCATCAATAATTTTCATCCGATGGAGAGTTTAATCAAATAAAAATAAATATTTATAAATTTAATTGATTATAATAAAAAGAAAAATATTTTAATAATTATTTAATTTTAGTTTAAAATTTTTTAATATTTAAGCTTCTTTAAATTACCGCAAAATTTATCCCTATCTTTGTTATTTTAGAAGGAAAGAAAAAAAAAATTAACCCTTCTCTCTCTTTTTCAGACACTCAACTCATAAAATCTAAGACAAAACCCTTGTCTGTCTGTCCCTTCTTTCCCTCATTTTTATTAATTTGATGTTAAATGGAGAAATAGAGAAAATGAAGTCTTCTTCATCTTCTTCTTTTTTCCAAGATAAAACACATAACTATAACAAAAAAGAGAGATGCCTAAACATGGTGATGCTCCCTCCATTCTTCTTGTCTTCTCTTCTTGTAACTGTCATATTCATACTCTTCATCCTCTATTCTCCAAACCCTTTAAAGGCCATGTCCAAACTTGACCTTGGTCAAACACTTGATTTGATCAAACCTCCTAATACTACATTTCTAGGTAAACTCAATTCTCCTCTTATTTTCACCACATAGAAAATTTTGTTTGATTGTGATTTTTTTTTTTTTTTTTGGTATTTTAGGTGATCATGATGAGATTTTGAACTGTGACTTGTCTAAGGGTCATTGGATACCTGACCTGCAAGGGTCTCTATATACAAACTCAAGTTGCACCACAATTCCTACTTCAAAGAATTGTTTCCACCATGGAAGAAAAGACAGAGATTTCCTGAATTGGAGATGGAAACCTGATCGATGTCATCTTCCGAGGTTTGATCCTAAGACATTCCTGGAATTTGTTCAAGGGAAGAAACTTGCATTCATTGGTGACTCAGTTGCCAGGAACCACATGGAGTCTCTCCTTTGTCTCCTGTCAAAGGTTAGTTTTCACATTTCAGAAGATCCTGTTCTAAGGCACTGTCTACGCATCATAATTTTCACATCATAATTTTCACATTATTCTGGTAATAATTGCCCAGGAACTCAAAGTTCCGGGCATTGTTGCTTGGGTTTATCCTGATTCCATTATCCTTTGCATGCCCTGATTGAGGTCTGATTCCTTTACAGGTATAAAAGAAAATTTAAATAGTAAAACCCAGAACTTAGCTCATTGGGTTCATGGATTCAAATACTAGCAACTGGCTTCTTTTGTTAAAAAAAAAAACAAGCCTGAAAAACTCACTGGACTTGGAGAGTCAGAGATTAATCAGTTACCTAGTTTCTGTCAGTTTTGCAGTGTGAAATTGCACATTAATTTTGAAGGTTTTGTCAGCAGTAATTGTCTTGAAAGTGAGCCACTGGCAAAACGAGCTTTGATTCTACAGTTTTTTATAGATTACTGGATTTAAGAAATCCCATATATTTGACTTATCAAGAGAAAATTTTCACTGCATTGAGTTGAATTAGAAGTAATTTTCTGTTCTGCAAAGTATGAAAGAAAAATAGCAGGGAAAATGTTATGGTTTTGATGAATTTAGCCGAGGCAATAAAACTGGCAAACTTCACTGGCCATCCAGAGAATTTAGTGCATTTGAAGTCAGAATTATGAAGAGCACGTCCTTATCAAATGGCTGAAAATGCTGTGATTCAGCAGACAAAGTCAGTGAACAAACTCCACCAGTTAATTTTTTTTTTTTTTTTTCACATGTAACTGGTCTGCACAAATACTGAATCATTGCCAGGTTCTTCAGCATTCTTGAAGACATTAAAATTAAAATTTCAGGTCCATAATTGAAGTTTTACATGTACATCTAGGACCAAAGAGATTGAGTAGGGTTGATTTATTTAATGCTTTTTTAAAAAACGTTGACTTGGACACGTCTAGATTATAACTTAGTCAAAATTAGTTGGTGGCTTTTCTTTTCTTTTTTTTTATTATTATGATTTCTTTGGTTAATTTATTTCTTTCATTCTTTTTCCCTGGATAACAAAAGAACATAGCATTATTTTCAGGTAGTTCTATCAACTTGTGCATTTATATTTTATCTATTTCGTATTTAATGTGTAAAATATAAAATTATCATGTTATAATTTATATTAACACATCATATTAAATACATTTGTTGATTTTTATCAAATTTATATACGGTTTATGTCCATTTTAAATTGCCTTTTTTCATTTTTTTATATAATTTTCATGTTTTGTCTAAAATTGCAGATCTATTTTCAGGTTTTTATTGCACCCTTTTACCTCTACCGATATCAGTGTGCCTGTTTCCCAATCTGTATAGTATGTTTTTCTTTCAAGTTTCCTTACGAATTGGCTGGTATCCTGAGAAATATCATCTATGATATGGAATTATGGTCATTAGATAAAACATAATTAATTTACTCAAACAGCTTCAGATTTAAATTAGAGTTGCTTTAACTGCAAATCTTTTGTAGGTAGAAACTCCCAAAGATCATTACCAAGATTCGGAAGACAGGAAAAGGGTATGGTACTTTCCTGGTCATGACTTCACTCTCATGATTCTTTGGACGAAATTCCTTGTAGATGGTGAAGAAAGAGTGGTCAATGGTTCAACATCTGGCATTTTTGACTTGCACCTTGACAAAATTGATAAAGAATGGAGCAGAGATCTTCCTGCTCTAGACTATGTTGTCATCTCAGATGCACATTGGTTTTTCCGACCAATTTACCTACATGATGACACTGGTGTTGTTGGATGTGTGTATTGCAATAACCCAAATGTGACAGATTTTGGTGTCGGATTTGCACTCAAGATGGCTTTTCGTTCTGCATTAAATCATATTAACTGCTGCAAGAAATGCAAAGTGAGGGTTACGCTCATCAGGACATTTTCACCAGCTCATTTTGAGAATGGGAGCTGGAACACTGGAGGAAGATGCAACAGGACAAGCCCTTTAAGTGAAGGAGAGATCGACTTGAGTAGTAATGAATGGGAACTGAGGGGCCTGCAAATGGAAGAGATCGAAAAGGCAAGAATAGAAGGAAATAAGAAAGGAAAAAGGTTTGGAGTTTTGGATGTCACCAGGGCTATGCTCATGAGACCTGATGGGCATCCTGGTGAATTCTGGGGAAACAAGTGGATGAAGGGTTATAATGACTGTGTTCACTGGTGCTTGCCAGGTCCAATCGACGTATGGAATGATTTTCTGATGGCGATTCTGGGAAGAGAAGCTGCATTAGTTTCTTAGTGAAGGGCCAGAGTCGATTAGTTAGAATCATATACCATAGATATTTGCATCTTAATAATTGTTCTTCATTTTGTCTCCCCTTGGCATATATTTTTTATGGCCAACAGATCAATTTTTTTTATTATTAGCACAACAAATCAACATATATTTTCATTGTAATATAGTAGCAAATATCATTGAACCCGGAATTTAGCCTACGTTGATGGATCTACCTTTCATGAGCACTGATCAAAAATTAGAAAATAACGAAATTTGAAGAGAAAAATTTTTTTCTGACCACCTTCAAAACTTTCTTCGAAACGCCCCTAAAGATTGAAAAACAAAAAAAACAAAAAAAAAAAAAATGAAAGAAAAATTTTTTAGGCACCTTTTCCGTTGATAAAATCTATCTACAATTTATATATATCTATATTATAAGTCGACACCTCTTAAAAAAATTTTGAATCCATCACTTTTAATTCGATTGGTTTATACACCTACTCTAAAAGATAACATTATCTAAGATTAAAATCTCAACACTTATGACATTTTCTGTCTCCAAATTGCGATCTACTTTATAAAAAAAAAAAAAAACTATTGATATTCCTGGACAATCTAATATTAATAATAATGATAATCAATATAGAGGAAGAGATTGTTGCAAACTCTACTTCTTGTCCTAATGATGACAGAAGAAGCAATTTTCAACCCTCAGATAACTATCAACTTCAAACAATAATGCATTTTTCCTAGTCAGATGAAATTTGACATTCAGCAGGCATACCAAAATAAAGAGTTTTTCTTGGCTCTCCATGGGACCCAACAAGAAGTGGGAAAAGAAAATTCGGAATTTGAAATACTGTCAAGAACACGTATGATCATTCATGATAGAGTGGATTTCTTGTTAAAATCTCCAGGTAGCTGGAAACTGGAAACGGTAGTACCAATGACAAATTCTCTGGCAACTCATGTGCAAACATTGTGGAACATTATTTATTCCAGAATCATAAAGACAAGACATGCAAGGGAGTTGAAAATGATGATAACAGAAACCCCAAAAACAAAAGAAAAGAAGTCAAGGTGATTCTCATCCAAGATGATGTGGGAAAAGAATCAATTTTACACCTACATTCAAGGAGAACTAACGAATTGTTTTATCAATGTGGAAATGCAAAACATAACTAATCAATACCAAAATCTTGCAATGAAAGAAGGGTATTTGCTAAATGTTAAGAGGGGTGAACAGTAATTGAGGAATAACTCTTTTCTTTTTTTGGATGGAAAGTAAATGTGAAAGGCTTGATTCTCTGGCCCATGAACGCTCCACAATGGAGTGGAACTACAATCTCTGTAAATCAGACAGTCTGGTTCAACAAATGGTATCTGTATACAGCAAGGAAGATAGTAAATTGGCTGCTTGCTTTTTAATTATAGCCATCCAATCAAACACAGCAAATCATTTGTAAGACTTATAGTTTTGACAAAAGGAATACGTTCAGCTCATGCTTTCATTAAAAGTGTGGTTTTTACGTATGTGAGCGTGGAAATCCTGCTTTTAAGAAAAAGGTTGAGACTCCCACACAATGTCTATAGCAAGTTGAATCACTTTGTAAGTGGCTTCACACAATTGGAATACATTTCATTAAAAGTGTGTTAGTCGCAGCAGTCAAGTAATAGATGCATGGTACAGGATCCTGCATCAGAGTGCCACATCATGTCAGGTAGCATGTATGTAGCCAACTAGCCATACCATAACTACTCTACCCAGAAGTTAAATTCCACTCTAAACTAAATTTAATAAACACTGAACAAGATTACAAAGTCCTGCGTTAAATCTTGTAGGAAAAGATCCTATCATTGCATACCCTAGTTATTATCTTCAATTAGGCATTATCTTCTTTGCTTGGCCATTGTTGGCAAACACCATTTATGAATTGTGATGACATAGACTGATGAACCACTAACATTTATGAATGCAAAATGGTATTTACCAATTTCATAGAGAAGTAATATAGATGTGGTCAATATTCTAAAGGTCAGAATTCTAAACTAAGCCGCAGAAAGCAGTACACCTTATGCAACCTGATCAAATCACCCATTTATAATATTAAACAACAAAACAGAAAACTCTTAAGCAACCCAAGCTAATTAAGCAGGAAAGTTTATCAAATTTGCTTAGCATGAAAGTAATCAAGAAGATCATATTGACAAACACGTCAAATTAAGCATTTCCAAGATATACAACGCAAAGACCAAATAAGTCAGGGAAAAAAGTATAGAAAATGGTAACTCTGAACAAAATCTCATGCTAATATGCTAGTAGAAATAAAGAACATAACTAGGTTTGTGAAAAAAGAATACTGCTAAGTAGAACACAGGATTACTTTTAATGATATGGTTAAATAATTTAGCATTCAGTTGCCACAGTAAAACCACCACCATTTTATCAGATGGTAAGTAACATAACCAAATTCCATTTGCTTATTTAAGGAAGTCAAAACTAACATAGAAGAGATTAGCTGTAATGGTAGCAACTAAAAAGCTACACAGACAGAAAACTTGGCAATCTGCTCTTTATAACTTCCAAAATCCAAACCAAGGTAGCAGATTCATAAAGGGTTTGAACCAATCTAATATATTATCTCCCATCCAATAAAGAATTCGGTCATGTCATGATAAAACATATCCTCTTCAAAGTTAGAAGCCATACTAACATACAAGAGATTAGATGCAACATTAACAACTAAAAAGTCATTACATTAATGAGATTCTTTACAATTTCCACAATTCAATTGATCCATTTTTATCCCCATTCAATAGAGAATCTAGTTTTGTAATGCTAAACCACACTCTCAACAAAAAATGCAGGCAAGAAAAAGATATGATAAACAAGTAAACTTCAAACTGACCTGTTAAACAACATATTAAATTGCAACGAAGAATCCATCATTCATTACTAATTATAAAACTTACATTAGCAACACATCGTGTAAACACATTTTTGGAACTGTAACAAGAAGCAAAAACTAACACTGTCACAATGACCCCTCCGAATCTCATGCCTCTATGGTATTCCCGAGTCCAAATGAGAAATGTTCACGAACAGGTGAAAACTCCACCAATCCAATATCCATTGCATATCCACAAACAGGCAACTTCAACTCTCTCAACACACAAAAAGCCTCAGCCATTCTTGTTTTTGGCACTTCCTGAGCTACAGCACAATAAGGAATCCAAGCGTCAGCTTTAAACTCTTCTCCAATTTCAAACCCCTCCTTTTTAACTGCCTCACATAACTGAGCCTGGAACTGTAGGAAGGCCATTGTTGGGGCTGGTGCAAGAAAAAGAACGTTTTTTTCATTTGGGAAAGTCCCAATTGAAGAAAAAGATAAAGCTAAAGGTTCTTGCTTTGAAGCAAAGGACTTTACAACAGATTCAAGCTTGGCAGGGTCAAGAAAAGGGCTTGAAAATAGAGTTATGTGAGGCCTTGACTCAATTTCAATTAACTGAGTGCTGATTTGACGGCGAGCCAACACATTCCAAGCTTTCAGGACTTGGTTTTCGAGTGCTGGATCAAAGTAAAGCTCAATTGAAATGCCTTGTGACATTGAAACTTTGATGAAAACAAAAGCAACCCAAATTTTAAAACGGAGATCTAATAGTAGCCAGGTGATTAAATTTGAAATTTGAAAAAGAATTGGAAGTGACCCAGAAAGCGGAAAATTTCAAAACCCTAGAAAGAATATGGGAAATCAAAGATACCCAGATTAGATTTGATGTTGTAAAGGGCCAAGAAGAACAAATGTGAAAAAAGGAAGGATTTTTACGGTTTTCTCAAAGAGACAGATAATAAAGAGGGGAACTTTTGTCTGTGGATTTTGGAGAGAGGTCTGATTTTCTTTGGCAATTTCACAGTCAAAATTAAAAGAGTTTAAAGGAAAAAGAAAAAATTAGAAGGTATTAGTGATTTTCTATTTTTCTTGTTGCATTTGAATAATTTTTAAAATCCTTTTTGGGGTTATACCAAACACTTAATTATAAGTTGTAAGTTTGGAAGATTTTTCTTTTAAAATTTGGAAAAGGAAAGTATCAACCAAGTTTGGTACTTTATATAAAGCTTCCATTTTGATTTATTTTACCAATAATAATAAATAAATAGATCTTATTTTAATTGTTAAATTAATATTTAATGTATTGTTAGTATAAAATTTTAATTTCATAAGTGATATTAAAAGATTGATATATTTTTTTATTTTTATTTTTAATTAAAATTTATATATTTTTAAATATATTATAAGAGATATGTATTATCTTTTTAATCTCACTTATCGGTTATAAAAATTTTACATTTGATAATTTTTTTTAATTGTTTATATAAATGAGCTCACAATAAGAGAATTTTAAATATTAAAAATTTTATTTTAAATTGGTTAAATGTCATATTTTAAATATATTTAAATAAATTAATTGAATTAAATCTTGATTACATATTATTCAAAAAAAAAAAGAAAAAAACAAATTTTAAATGGTGCTATAGTTTGGTTGTTTAGTAGTAGTATTTAAATTTAAATAACATAGTTTATTTATATTTCCTAGAAGTGTTGATAGGCAAATTGGTAATATCAAATATATACAAAATAATTAAAAATATATACTAGCATTTATAATAAAAAAAAATTATATAATATTAGTGGCATATTACATATATTATACTATTAATATTAACACTACATATTCACAAAATCCCATTTTTTTTGTCTATATTTTTTTATGTCAAAAAATTATGTCTTTTTTTAATATTTAAAATTTTTATTTTTTGTATTTTAAAATTATATTTTAAATTTTTTTTTTTACTTTTTGACATTAAAAATTATAAAACTTTAATTTCATGAAAAATTTTAAATTTTAATATTAAATATATTAAAATCAAAATTTTTTTCTTAATTTCCATGAAAGTCAATATTGACAAACATTTTGGGAGGAAAAGAGTTTAATTTATTGTGAGTTCATGAAGGAAGGATGAGTAATTCAAGTTTATAACATTTTCATATATGGTAATTTTATGTGTAACTTGACTTGGGAATTTAACTCATGATGTTTTTTCCATATCAAATTCCCAAATGCATTACTTCTTATGTCAGTTTCTCTTACATGTAACAAGACAGAATTAAATATGATCTAATTTTTCTGTTATATCTTTGACTTTATATTTGATGTCTTTTGTATTAAAATGTATATATATGTCTACAACTTTGGAATTTAAGTTTAATCAAAGTTTTATCAACTTAAATTTTATTTTCTTTTTAGATACATTTGGCTTAAAATTTTAAGAATTGAAATATTACTTCTTTAGACTTTGCGGTTTAGTTTAATTGATTTATATAATTATTTTTAAAAAATAATATTTAATAATTTTAAAATTTAAATCTAAATACCAATAATTTTTTTATCCTCCAATTATGATTTTTTTTAAAAAATAATACAATAATCTAGTCCATAGTTAGATTTGGATGGTTTATATATATATATATATATATATATATATATATATAAGAGGTTGCAATCTGATGATAAAAAAAAATTATAAGTAATAAATTTAAATTTAAAATTTAAAATATATTAAATATTATATTTTAAGATTATTTATACTAATTAATTAAAATAAATAGATTAATATGGCTTGCTTTCACCATTGAGGATCTTCGAATCTCTAATATAGTAGCACTATGAAAAGCTGCAGGTCCAGGCCTTTCATGGGCTAAATCCAGAGGCCAGAAAATCAAATCTTTGGGATTGATTCAAGTGAAATTTATGAAATGATAAAATTTATCAAATTTTGCACACTTCATCTATTTATAAATTTTTTAATTTATTAATTTTGATTTTCGATTTTAATTTTGATTTATTAATTTTTAATAAAAATTTTCATATACTTTACTTATGAAATTGATACATACTATGCCAAAACAAAAGGACGAAAAACAAACAATATTTTTGTAAATCATAACATGGAGATTAAGATGATGTCTTACATTAAGCACAACATTGTAAGTTTTCGTTTTATAGTAGCTGAGAGTTAATTTCAAGAGGGAAATCGAAGATAGAGAGGGATAAGATTGTGAGCATTCGGAGGTGAGTCCCAAACAGAGAATGCACTTGTTGAATTCATCCATTTCTTTGTAATTTCGGGGTAATGCCGATCTAACACATCTCTCAGGCTTTCTGTTGTTTTCACCCATTCAAATCCTTCCTTTGTATATGTCTCCTCGTTGAAATTGCTGGTAAAGAACCTGTCTGCCTCTAGCCTCCTGCACCACCCCATCCAAATAGATTAAAAAAACTCATTATTTTGCCTGAATTTTACTATCCTTAAATTCAAGCTTAATTTAAGTTTTTTATGATGCTCTGGGTTACCTGGTTGCCATGAGAAGGAATATGATAAAAGCTGTCTCACTAATGGCAAACCCCTTGATCTTCTTCTCTGCCATGAGTCCAACTTGTAAGTCCAGCTCTTCTACATCATCATCATAAACTTCCCTAAGACTTTGAATCTCTTCTTCATTATCTGTCAGATCTTCCCATTTAGAGATTGGTATCAAGAATAAAGCCCTTCGAAATTGATTGTACCTAGCAACTTTTCTCTCTCTGTCCCTGTAAACTGCATGATCAAAGCACAAATTAATGAACATCAGATCACTTGTTGTTCAACACCTCAACTACAAAACAAGTTGGTAGAACAGCGGTTACTTTCAAGAGCTGCCATGTCCACATGATCAGGCCTGTCTTTGCCATGAATATCTTGTGGTATAAGATCCCGCAGCCATTCTGGGTAGTTCCAAAGCTTTAGTTGGCCACAAGCTTGATGCCCCATTGAAACTATTTGTTGAGTGAATCCAATTTCTGATAAAGTCTTTTCTCCTTTCTGGCCTATCAAATTAGCCATTGAAATTCTGCATTTTCAATTACAAGAAACAAAATTAATCAGGCTATATATATATATATATTTATTAACAAAATAAACTTTGTTCATTGAACCGGACTTAAAAAGTGATATCTGGCAGTTCGAAATTTAAATCTCAACATCTGCTTTCCTTAACCTCAAGCTGCAGCCTCATTTGTAAAAAAAAGATAAATAAATAAAACAGGAAGGTAATGTGTTATTCATGTGTTCTTTTTACCGGACACGCGCTTTGAGTTCATTCGTATTGTGTTAAATATACATATCATGTAGCTAGGCATACTTCTCAGTTAGTGGTGGAGATTTGTTGGGTCCTGGTGCAGCTTTGATGTCCCTAAGGCAAAGGTAATCAGGTAGAAGCGAGTGCATTCGATAGACACTAACGAACTCTTCAGTCAATGAATATGGTACACCATGATTAACTGGCTTCTTGAGACCTACCAGACCTCCCAAGAAGACTCCCCCAACATGCCCAAATTTGTCCTTGAATTTCTTACCCAACAGACCATACCTACGATAAGTTGAGGAAATTGTCAAAATCCGTAGTTTTTACATGTAAAGCTCAATCCGGGGCTATAATTGCATCATTAAAAAGGTTCTTTTTGCTCATACTAGAGGTTTATTACCAGTTACCGCGCATTCCTGCAAGCAACATATCAGTTTTCAGGAGCTCCACAGTCCAATCAATGGTATGGATCTTTGCAATCACAGCGGAAGTCACCAGTCTTCCAATGCGGTATAAATGTTCGTCATCAAAATCTGGATGTTCCTCCTAAAACATTACAAAGTCAAAGTATTTAAATCAAGTGAACAAGTAATCAGATAAAAGATATGTGCAAGGAATACCTTGATGGCATCACAAACTGCATTGTGCTCTTTCATGAAGAGAGCCTGCAATGTGGAGACACCAGCCCAACTGTTCCGAATATCTCCTGACAATGCAATCCCATCCTGGTCATGAAGAAGAAGACCATCTTCTGAGATCTTGAGCTTCCCATCTTTAAAGGTCCTTATTTTTTGCATCCTTTCGGCGTTGACACCATATATAGCACTTCCATCCCTACAAGTCCACAAATCATATGAACACATGCTAGAAACAGTACAAGATCAATAATTTTCAACATAACAATCAATCTGAATCAATGTTTGCGAAGTTAAATGATTCTCCTGTCAAAATGATGACATATACACGTTCTTATAAGATGGCGAACACGACCATTGTAGTCACAATTTAGTCCATCATCCTACTTATAATTCTTACCACCAAGGTGTACGAATGTTTTTTGTCCCATATTTTATCTCACAAAAGCCAGTTGGAAACTCCTTTGTCTTGTAGAACTTGAAAGAGTTAAGGGGACATTTATCAGCAACAGCTCTAGGTGCAATTAACTCTATCTGCAATAATTTTGTTCAAAGAAATTTTAATGCATTATTGTAACTACCTCCTTAGATGCAAGGATTCAAAGATTTTATCTATTAAAAAAAAAAAAAGGACCTGGTTGGTATCCTCCAAGTGGTCTACCCAGTCATGAATCATAAACTGAATCCAGGAAGCTGCTATAATGTTGAACTGCTTTCCAGTATCTTCATATTTTCTTCGTGCTAGAAGTTTTGTGGCAACAACCATTGGATCTGGTCTCAACAACTGCATGCACAAGTTTTATATATAGTTCCTTTTAAAGCGTTTTGCTTTAATTGAAGGCATTGGAAAACAATTTCGAATTTTAATGCACCATGCACAAATGGAATGGAAATTACTTTGAGTTTGATCAAGTCCTCTTTTCAAATTGATTATTTAGAGAAACATAGTATATTTAAAATGGTTTCAAGTGATGAACATATCATGCATGCAATTGATAATTAATATGATATATCATATATTTTGGGGAAGTAATTAAATAGATCATAAGATATAGAGAAGGTCAATTTGTCACATATGAATGTTGAATTTTTTTTATACAAAGAAAGCTATAATTTAGGCATAAGAGAAAAGATTAAAGGTATAAGGAATACTAAATGTCACCTCTTAAAGGTAGCTACATAAAATTCATAAATAAATGAGGGTAAGCTTTGTGTTGGTAAATGTTGGATTTTGTCATCACTATATTTTGATTTCATTGAATTTGCCACTATATTTTTATTTTTTGCAAAATTTGACAAAACTAACCGAAATAGATTCCATTAATATATTTAAAATTAGTTTTCAATAAAACAAAAAAATATGATGAGTGAATATTTACCATGTAGCAAAAATGTACATGTTAAGTCCCACGCTAGAAGAAGTTATCACCACAAGAAAACGTTACTTTAGCGACGGAACAATTAGTGACGAAACTTTTTCATCGTTAATAATCAATTTTTATGACGGAATAGCGGCATAGGTTTCATAGGCGTTTTGGCAACTGAAAATAGAGGAAATAATGACTGAAAGGAGTTCTTTTAGTAAATCCGTTGATAAATTTCCACGCCAAAGAAACAGAAGTGGCACCAAAATTATTGGTTGTTTTAATGACAAAATTTCGTCGTTAATTTCATAAATACTAGCAAATTAATGACGGAAATTTTCCATCGCCATTAGACAAAATTAAAAAATAATTTTTAATGTTTTTTATAAATTAAAAAATTCAAATAAGTTTTTATAAGGTTTTAGTGATGAAATTTTTAGCAACAAAAAAAAAAACTAAAATTTAAGTTTAACTACGAAATTCCCTCGCTAAATCCTTGATGTTTAAAATTTTCATCCAGTCCTCCTCTCCCTCTTTTCCTTTTTCCCACTTCTCTCATCTCCCTCTCCCCACCCGTGACTCCTCTGCCCTATTGCTGAAATCCACCCACCCTGTCTGCCGCCTAGTCTAGCCGACCATCAGCAGCAAGCCAACGGTCAGCCATGCTTGATCCACACCTGAACTGATCATTTCAAGCCAAAAATTCTCTAAATCGAACCAAGCTAAACCCTCAATTTTGACCGATTTCTGATTTCCCGCTATTGATTCTTCAATTTCTCCAGCCCCAAAATTCTTCTCTTATCTTCACCTTACCCTTTGACATAAAAATTTTATTGATAAATTATCTTTTTTTCTTTACAAATTAGGGTTTTGTTTCTTAATTTTGTTATTTTTTACATTTTTGTTATTTTGAGTGTCATATAATTTAAGAAATTGTTTTAGGTGTTATTACATATTTTAAGTATTTTTCTAGATTTTATTTATTGTTTATATTTTTAATTAATAATTTAATTCATTTTTGTAAGGTTTAGAGCTTGTTACCTATTGAACAACGCTTTAGTAATTTCTTTTACTACTAACTTTTAATTTATTTAAATTATTGAATAATTATGATTTAAGGTTAGTAATTTGTGAACTTTTGTTGAATTTGTGAAATTTATATGATTATTATGGAAATTTGAAAATTTTAATTTATTGTTGAATTTGTTTTTGTGGATTTGTGGAATTATAGTCGTAGTGAATTTATGAAATTATTACAAAAATTGGGAAATTGTGAGTTTTGGGAAATTATAGAGCTTGTGAATTTATGAATTTATTGTAGAATTTAGGTATTTTATGGAAATTGTGTTTATATGATTATTGTGGAAATTTAGAAAATTTTAATTTATTGTTGAATTCGTAAATTTTATTGAAATTGTGAATTTATGAAATTATTACCAAAATTGAGAAATTATTATGAAAATTGAAAATTCGTTGAGTTTAATGAAATTATTTATGAAATTTAAGAAATTATATTTAATTTAATTAGGTTATATAATAATTATATGCTTATGAACTTTTTGAAATTCAATGAAAATAGATAAAGACAGAAGTTGGATTTATAGAAGTTGAATTTTGTCATCACTGTATTTTGATTTTATTCAATTTGCCACTATATTTATATATTTTTTGCAATTTTCATCAAAATTAACAGAAATAGATTCCATTAATACCATAAAAATGGGTTAAACTTTGATCAAATGTGTTATTTTATTTGTATGGTTTGAGCGATAGGGTAGATGGATTAATTTGCTACCTTTTGTCTCTGATCAACAGATAGCATGTTCCTGCCAAAGAAGCTACCTAGGCCGCCTGCTTCTTCATTTAAGGGATCATTGTATGTTCCATCACTTGTTCTGTATTGATACTTTCCAGGATTAAATCCAACTTCGGATGGAGATTGTCCTACATTCAACAAGTTGTACTTCTGGTGAAGGTGTCGTCGAGTAGCCAGATAAATCAGCCCTAGGAATACTGGTAAGCGATGCCATATGGCCAGCTTATCAACTGAGTGCACAATCTGCTCATGAACACGGAATTAAATAGTTATCCTCAAAGCTTAAAATGTCTAGAAATGAAATATTAAGTTGAATAATTGGACGACTTGAAAAAGAAAATGATTCGATAGAAGTTGAATCAGATTCCAGTTAAAAAAAATAGATTCAAGTTTAAGAGAAGCGAATTTTACTAGGAAGAGGAAAGCATCGACGATAGTCATCTTGGAGACAACTTCATGAAAATCTCCTTGGATGAAATGATGCAATAGCCTATTCCGAAGGGTATTCCTGATGAATCCCAACATTTTTGTTTCTGTTCCCTGCAGGTTTACAAACTTATGGGAAAAAAATAGTACCCAAGCATGCCTATTTATATTGGTGGTGTAGCCAAAAAAATACTATTGCTATACAGACTTAGAACAAATTAATTAATACGTATATATATACGTATATATGTATGTATAAAACAAGTAAGCAGATTTCTTGTGCCAATTTCAATGTTTTTTGTCTGATATGTGCAAGAAAATAGAGCCAAAAGATTATTGTGAACAACTTTGATTGCGTTGAAAGTGAACTACTGAGACATAAATGATCGATATCGATGTTGATGACACTCCAAAAATATTGATAGGGTTTTACGGCTCGCGTACGCCATAGATATCAATTTAATGATAGTACACTTTCATTTGCGAAACTAAGGATAAAGGTATACCTTCAACCACTATGTTTATCAAAGAATATATAAATAAATAAATATATATATATATATCAAAGAATGAAATATATGATAATAAAATGATAGTGATAGAAAAATATATACAAATAGTTAATTTTGTGGTTTCATGTTGAAATTTTATTACGTGGGAATTATATTTGGCTCAATTTTATGTTAAATTTGTATAATTATATTTTAGTTCATTAATTAATATGTTTGTTTGATTTAATTCACTGATTTCTTATATATACTATTTGATTGTGATTTCTTAGATATATAGAAGAAAATTTTTTTCTTATATAAAAGCCAACTGATTTAAGACAATTTTGGCCATAGCATTTGTACTAACATAAACATTCCCTGTTGCTAGCAAAAATATTTTTAAAGAGAAAACGATCATATAAGGTATACAATTGATAAAATATTAAAATTTTAATTTTAATGACTAAAATTCAATCCTTTGAATTTTTAATATAAAAAAAATTAAGTTCAAATATCTCATCTTCAAATCTAAACATAGATTTAATTAGTTTTTTTTATTTTTTTTAATGTAACCTAAAATATATGTATCATCCTACTAACTTGATTTATGTAATTTAAAATTTATACTAATAACGTATCAAATATTAACTAATAAAAAAAAAACTATAGCATATAGTCTAATACATCAAAAAAGAAACTAATGAAAAAATTAAAAAAAATTAAATGACATCTACAAGTGATAAAATTTACACTTAAAACTTGAAATGTCATAATCTATAAGTCTGTATAAACTTATCACTAAATACAATAAAAAGAGTTATCACCAATATTTTTTATTTAAGTATAATTGACCACTTAATTGAATCTATCTTCATTTTAAAAAGAAATCTCAAACTTAATTCAGGTTCATTTAAAAAGTAAATTTTGGTCTAAAAAATTAAAATTGGGTTCGAAAATGTTTATATGCGATGAAAGTTTTAACACCCTCATAATGCTCATTTAAAGAATGGTACTAGTTGATTTCATGTTATCTAAGCCTTAAAACATATTTATAATTTTATTAAATAAATTTAATATTAAAAATTAATATTAAAATTACTCTAATAATTTAATAGTAGATTAAGAAAATTTCTCATTTCAAGAATAATCATGGAGACTGTTTTGGTTTGCTGTGTTTTTGTGTTTGTTTTGAATTCTCTAGGTTTAGTGAGTTGGTATAGCTTTGCAGAGTTAGTGTGTGCCATATTGCTATTGGTGAGCAATTTAGGCTAGCAGTTGTGGGTGTTTGTTGAAATTGTTTGTCGGTTTTTGGCTTCTTGAATACTGGATTTGGTTTCTTGGTTCACTCTGTGGATTATTGTGAATCGATGGTTAGTTGTTAGATCTTGGCAACTAGCTGCTAGGGGTTTGGTCTAGGATTCAAAGATGGTAACTGTGGCTACCGAGGCCCAATTATTTCTGAATGATGGCAATTTTAAGTTGCAAATAGGTGATTAATGGGTTTGGTGCATGGTGGTTCGGGTGCTGAGCATCAAAAAATGGTGTGGCTGTTCCAAATACTAGATTGGTGATAGGTGGTAACAGGGAGGTTAGTTCAAGCTTGGGTATGTGAAAGAAGATTCAGGTGACATTGAGCTAGGCCAAGATGAATGAGATCATGGTTCTGGCAGTAAAGATGGAAGTTTGGCTACTAAATTTTGGCAACAAAGTGGCATTGGTGATACAATTCTTTTGTGACTATTGAAGCTGTCTGTTATTGGATAACTTGAGTAGTGGTTGTTTTGTGACTAATGGTGATAAGAGAAGGTGGTTTTTTGCTTGTTTGCTTTCTCTATCCTTGTTCTCCCCCTTTATTGTGTGCTTAAATAAAGAATCAATCTCTTCTAATAAAGATCACGACTTTATCTAGGGTTTATCACCAAAAATTTATCTGTTCAAACTTAAAAAATGACTTTATCACCAAAAGATTTATCATTAAAAATTTATCAATTCAATTTCAAAAATGACTTTATCACCGAAAAAATTATCAATAAATGAATAAAAAATAAATTCATACAATCGAAATATGGTCGAAAGAAAAAATCTCTACTTGACAGGGCTTCTTCCTATACCTATGAATTCCATTGGACCCGGAAATGATACATTGGAAGAATCTTTTTGGTCTTCCAATATCAATAGGTTGGTTGTTTCCCTTCTGTCTCTTCAAAAAGGAAAAAAGATCTCTGAGAGCTGTTTCCTGGATCCGAAAGAGAGTACTTGGGTTCTCCCAATAACTAAAAAATGTATCATGCCTGAATCTAACTGGGGTTCGCGGTGGTGGAGGAACTGGATCGGAAAAAAGAGGGATTATAGTTGTAAGATATCTAATGAAACCTCATTGAAATTTGAAAGATATCAAATATATGGAGTTTGATAACAAAACATTAATATGATATGAAAAAAATATATATAAAAGTGATTGATTTAAAATTTTAATATTATTTATATATGAGTTTAATAAAATAAAAATAATATATTTTATATTTTTATATTGATACATATATAAAATATAATATTTATTTTAATATTTTATACAAATCACCATGTCTACTTTTCACGTATTACTTTCCATAAAGAACGTGGGGATAAGGGAGAGGTCATCTGCCACAAATAAATATGTGTTGGAGTATTGATAGAAAATCCCTCAGCTGCCTTTTTGTTCAAAGTTGGAATCCATCCCTATCAATAACCATCCAAGCAATTTATTAAGCACTGGTTTGGCAGTTGAAGATTGAACCGTTTGGCACTAATTAGAGTATTTTATTTATAGTTTTTTATATTATAAGTTTATAATTAGATTTAGTGATTCGTATACGTAAAATATTAAAATTTATTTATTTATATTATTTTTATATAAAAATTATGTGTAATAATTTTTATCGATATAAAAATAAAAAATATTTTTTTATTTTATTAAATTCATATATAGTTATTATTAAAATTTTAAATCATATCACTTTAATATTTTTTATATCATGTTAGTACTGTATTATCATATCATATTTTAAATTATCAGATTTATTTATAATTAATTAATCACAATAAAAAAATATGTAAAAATTTACCATTTTAAAATTTAGATCTTATAAAATCTTTTTGTGAATCTCATATAATGTTAAATTTTAATTAATTAATTATATTATAATAATTATTGATAATATATTTCTTTATTAAAAAGCTATAAAAAAAAATAAAGCAAAAGCAAAAGAGACCATGAATTAACAAATGCCTACGAACACTAGTAATATTAATTAAAATCTAATTTACATTTAATACACTACTTTCATCAAATTCAAAGAAAAATAATACATTAATTATAAATATTTTTCTTAAAATATTACCTTGACTAGCGTCTATTGGCACTGATTAACGTTTTCTTTGATGGAATGCTTCATCCAGTTCTGTAAAAATATCATTTTTTTTTTAATTTTATAACGAATGTCTTAAAATATTTATTTATGTTTTTTTTCTTTGAATTTTTTAATTTACTCTTAATCTTTTACTTTATAATTACATTATTAAAAAAAATATATTATGTATATAAATTCCTTTAAATCTGCGACTTCTAAATACAAATACCACCGAAATAATGCAAATATTCATCAACACTGCATTTAACGTGGCATTCGTTAGCAACATTAATATTTACGAACTGAATGCGTTAGCAAAAGCTTTAAGATCACTAAAATTATTCCACAATCTGTCCCATCACTATTTCATTATCGGTCCTTACGTGCAAGAGTCTATTTTCTCAACTCTCCACCATTAATTTCTCACCATAGTTCTTTAATGGACATTTAATTCATTCACATTCACATTTTTTGTTGATTTTATGGGGTGTCTTAGCTGGAAAAATCTAGAGAAAGGTTGAATGCCAAATGATTTGAATGTGCAATCAAAAAACATGATTAAAGAGTTTTGGAATTGATTAAAGAGTATCACCTTAATTATTAATTATTATTGTAATTAATACAAGAGTATTGCTAGTGCCCACAAAATAATTTTACACTTTTAAAGGTTAATTAATGTATTATTTATAGTAATAATATTTTTATATTAAATATAATAATTAATAATTTTATTTATGATTTTCACTGCATTAAGTGAGATATTACTTCATATAATAACCTTAAAAAAGTGCCGTTAAAGCACTCGTTAGCAAAATCCTTGGTATAGAAATAAAATTATAAAGGATTTTGATACTAAGTGCCCTTATGTGCACTCTTTGATGTTAGTTAATAAACTATAGATTCGATTAAAGGGTGCTTGTAAGCACGATAATTAAAATATTATCGTCAGAAAGGGTTTTGCATTTAATTTATTGTTTTCATTAAATTCACGAAAAAATAATACATTAATTACATTATTATTTTTCTTAAGTAGCATCTTAATTGATTTGCATCACTAGATGCTAATAGAAATATAAATGATACATTAATATTCGTAAATTACTCGAGTTTTATTCGAATAAAATTTGAATTCGACTCAATTGTTATCGAGTATAATTCAAGCTCGAGTAGCTCGGCTTATTGATCGATACGAGTTTAAGTATTCTTATGCCTAACTCAAATTACTCGTGAGGTTAATTGAGTTTTTATATTTTAATATATTTTAATTATTTTAATTAATAAAATATATTGGACTTGAGTTCGAATACAAATAATCGAGTTTTTTTTTAATATAAAAATGAATCTTATTTTTACATATTAATCGAACCAATTGAGTGAGCTTGAGTAGTTCGATTTCTATCTCAAATCGAGTTTGAGTTAAAACTCGATCGAATTCGAATCAAACTTCGAATCTTAAATTTGGAGTCAAGCTCAAGCTCGAGTTTAATATTATATCAACTCGAGCTCAATTAATTACATCCTAAATGCTTATCAATAATTTTTTTTAGCAAAAAGATTCTTTTTGCTGCATGATTGCAAATGTTCCAAACAATATGATCATGAGTTATTGATTTCTACAATCTCACCTACTAATATTAATGATTTTGTATATTATTTTTTTATATTAAAGTGCATTTAAGAGTAACATTAACAAATAGAATTTGATCTTAAAATCACTTAAGATTAAAAAATAATAATGTTTATTATTAAAAAATTACACATTTATGAAAGGAAATTTTTTTTTGACATTGTTATAATAAACATTATTATTGTTTCATGAGCCCTTTTTTAATCTTTAAAATTAAACATTTCTAGACCTAATAGGTGAAGGTGGAAAAATTAATCCAAACTCAAAAATTCATCTAAAAAATCTCGAGTTTGAATTTACCCAAACACAAATTAATAAAAAAAAAATAGAAGATTCGTACCCAAAAATACTTACATAAAAATTAAAATAATTTAAAATTAATCTAAACCCGAAATAACTCAAATTTAAAAAGTTCAGATCAAAATTACTCAAATCCAAAATGATTGAATGGAATTTGCTTAGCACTACGAGTAACAGGCAATTGATTCATTTAGCATTGCCCTATGGTTTGAAAATTGGGCTAGGAGGCCCATATATGAGTCTTCGAAAAACCCAAATTGCAAGCCTAATTTAGTTTCTGATACTATTATACTTGTGAAATTGGGCTAAAAGGCCCACATTCTGTCCATTAAAAGCCCCAGCGGTAGGCCCAAATTTACTAAAACAAACAGGTACAAAAAGCCAAAGCCCAACCCAATATCTACCTGATATATTAGTCCATTGGAAGCCCAAATTCCAGGCTCAAAATCAACTGTTTTATTCTAAACTGGATGATCTTTTCTTATAATTACAACTACAGAGGATACATTTTCTCTGATCAAATCCAAATTCTGAAAAACTATTTAAGGCTTTTGGTTTTTGTATATGCATTGGCATTAAACAAATTATTTGATGATTCAGGGAGCATTAATGGATCATTGAAGACTGCTACTGTTTTTCAATCCAATCTTTGCTACATATATTCTGCCTCTTGGCTTTGCAACAAAGGGACCTTACCATTGGATGAGGTCCCCAAGCTGGTTATGCCAGAGTCATCCTCAGTGCTTTCTTCTTCTTTGGCCTGTCCCCATATTACAGCATAAAATCCCATAGAAATGATAACTGCTCCAATAATACTGCAAAATCAAGCTTATCATTTGTGATCATGGAGGGAATGGCTGGCCAAAGTAAAATATTTGCTTTTCAAATGATTCTGCTTAAGACTGGTGATATGAAAAAATATGGAGAATTTTTGTACCTTCCAATATGCAGAGAATCACCAAGGAATATGGCACTCATAAAAGCAGCAATGGCAATTGACAGTGGACTGAATATTGCAACGTAGACAGGCCCTTTGACGTGAAGGGTCCATATAATCACAAGAGAGCTAAAGGATGAGAAAACACCCTAGATAGATGAAGAAACTCATATTTAGATAGGCTTGACAATTTAAAACATGATACAATGACACTTGAAAACAATATTAAAAAAAAAAAAACGAAGATGATATGATTTAAAATTTTAACATAACTACATATGAGTTTAATAAAAATAAAATAATGTATTTCGTGTTTTTCGTGTCACATTAACACGTAATTTTTGTGTAAAATAGGACTTTGGATACACAAATTGTCAATGTTATACATGACATGAATTGTCTACATTTATGTCCTAGCAACTGTCTGCTCTTTAGCTGTAGTTGAATCACTAAATTCTTACCGAGTACAGGACTGCAATAACTGCTATACTAGGCCTTAGCCTCCAAGAACTCAAGTCTGATTCTGCTATGAAGGAAACAGGTGCAGAGATAATGGCAGCACATAAGTTGTAAAAGAAGGCTACAATCAGCTCAGCTGGATACATCTCCAGGACCTGGATCTGGAAAATCTAACCTAATTAAAATTGAGCTTGTGGAAATTTCTAGGAGAGGAAAGGCATACCATACAATGCTTTACCTGAATAATGTACCAGAATGAAAAAAGTAGATAGGCAACAGCAAGTAACATCCCACCAATTACCCAATTCGATTCTGATGACTCCAAAGGCCATTCAAGTAAAACAGAAGATGATGTCCATGGTGGAGATGAAAAAACTTTGGGGCCCTTGTAGAGAACAACTAGTAATGCACCTGATATTGATGTTACGGTTCCCATGATTTTAGCTCGACTGGTTAAGCTTCTCAAGGCTACCCTTTCCAATCTTGGTAGTTACAGTATCCAAAGAATGGGAGAAAAACAAGACTCAGGACACTAGCTTTCAAATCACAATAAGTCTGAGATAAAACATTTGTAACTAACGCCCAATTTTGAAAGTATTTTTTATACCACTGTATATATCTGACCAGATCAATATCCTGCAAACACTCCTACATTCAAAGCTTAATCATAGCATAAAAATTGTGATTTTCCTCAATTAAGCACAACCATGGAAAACAAATTATAAAGATTTCTGCATGATACTAACTTCAGCTTTTGGTTTCTAATTCTCCACACATTTCTATAATTTATTTATACATACTTTATGTTTACATTTTTCTTTATTTAAGGCTATGCAAGGGAAAAAATGTAAATACATGGAGACATTGAAGAACTAGGAGAAGAAGGAAGAAACCTGTAAAGAATAGCAAGTATGAAGGTAAAAGCTGGGGTGAGATTGCCGAGTGCAGAAGCAAGAGTTGGGGAGCTATAGTCTATACCCTTGTATGCACATATTTGAGCTAAAAACCTGCCCCCAAAAGGAAAAACAATCTTAGTTTTTCAATTATCATCTTCTAATCTTTCCAAGAACCAACAAAAAAAGGAAAAAAATTTACAGCTTAATTTGTACTGTACTTCAATACCCAAAAAGCCCAAGAAGGAAAATTTTAGAGACAAGATGGAACTTCATTGGGGGAAGCACTGGTCTACTGCATAGATCAGAATAAACAAAGATATGCATCATGTAAGTGCAAAATTCCAACGGAATTGGGAGGTCATATATATGAAAACTGGATGAATCTGAAGAAAAACCTGGAAAAGATGAAGGATAAAGGGAGGAGGAGAAGAGCTCCCATAGCATAAGAATAGGTGATAAAGATATAGTAGCTCATCCCCTTTAAAGTTGCTGCTTTGAATAAAATGTTTAGCCCTACATTTGTGCATTCTACTGCAACCATAGCTGTGAATGGCAGAACATCCTTGTAACAATAACTTGTTGCCATCTCTTCCTCTTCTCCTGTCTGCCTGTCTTTCCGTCTGTCTGTCACTGGTTTGTACCTCCAAAAGCCTCTTTTATCATGTTTGGTGGGTAGTAATTGGCAGGTTTCCTGTCTCATTTATCTATTTCCAATGTGATTTCTTTGTTTTAAATTGGGAAAATGCTCTTGACTATGGAGTTTTGTGTAATTGCATACTATTATACTGTGGACCAAAACTTTCAATATTTCATCATGATATTGATATATATACTTTTTTTTTTTCTTCTTTTCAACTTATCATTTTTAAATTTTTTATAAATATAAATAAATATATATTTATACACGAGGTAGGAGGAGTACCAAATTTAATGGAAAACAAATCAGATTTTGCTTATCTTGAACCATGAATTTTTATAAAGAATGACTCCAAAGTTTTCTGCAATGGGTATTGTTGGAAAAGTCAAATAAATACCTAACCTCTCTCAATCACTCTGATGGTTGGTTTATATACATATGAAAAATTTTCAACTCCCTGTACTCTGATTGGGATACCTATGGGAACTAGTTTTTGATGTAATTTTTATCTTTAAAATTTTATTTTTATAAATAATTTTTATATTATAATAATAATGATAAATATAAATAATTTAATTTTGATTTTGATAAATTTTAATAAAATTTTGATAACCTTTGATATAATTTTGATAACTTATGATATGATTTTAATAACTATTGATAAAATTTTGATAATTTATTGATGTAATTTTAGTAATTAATCTTACAGTAACTTATGATATTCTTTTAGTAATTATTGATAAAATTTGTGTTATCATATATTTAATAATAGATTCTTATAGAAAAGTATAGGTTTAGTTCTAGTACAAGATAATTTTCTTTTTCTATAATAACATTATTGTTTCAATCAAATTTAGAATTTTTTTTAACTAAATTTTTTATTGAATAGGTTTATGATAAGCTTATCCTAATCTCCTAAGATAAAATTTCTAAGGTCATTTTTGCTAGTAACTAAGATTCAATTTTTGACAACTTTAAGTATAAAAAAAATTATCAATGATTGACAATTAATGTATCATTGATTTATTATTATATTGTCAGTTATTTACTATTAAGTTATCAATAATATACTATTAAATTATTAATGATTTACTACTAAATTACTGATGATTTATTACTAAATTACTGATAATTTTTAATAAAGTTATAATTGATTTACTAGTAATTTATCAATGATTTGCTACAAAGTTATCAATGATTAACTAATTTACTAATAAATTATCATTCATTTACAACTAATTTATTAGTAATCTACTACTAAGTTACTAATAATTTATATCCAAATTATCAATGATTTACTATTATGTTATAATTTATTTATTACTTAATTTTTGATTATATACTACAAAATTATCACAGATTTATTATTAAATTAACCATGATGCATTAACAAATTATCACTAATTTATATTAAATTATCTATAATTTACTATTAAGTTATTTAACTATTAAGTTATAGATGATTAACTACTATTAAATTATATTGATTTACTTTTAAATTTTTAATGATTAACAACTAAATTATCATTGATTTACTATTAAATTATTTATGAGTTACTACTAAGTTTATCAATTAATTATTACTAAACTGAAACTAATTTACTATTAAGTTATTACTAATTTACTATTAGGTTATTAATGATTAACAACTAAATTATCACTTATTTATTTATTAACCAATTATTGATTTATTAATATGTTATTATACATTTATAATTGTGAAATATAGAATTTCCAAAGTCTACTAATAATATATAAGATAATTTTCTTTTTATATGATAACATTATTGTTTTATTCAAATTTAAAATTTTTGCATTGATTTTTTTTATTGAATAAGTTCATGGTAAGTTTATCATAACCGTCAAAATGAAAGTTTTGACTATGTTTTTACTAGTAATCAGAATTCAATCATTTGGCAACTTTAAGTATAAAAAGTTATCAATGATTAACAATTATATTATCAATTATTTACTATTAAGTTATCAATGATTTATTATTAAATTATCAATGATTTATTTTTAATTTATGAATGATTTGCCATTAAGTTATAAATGATATATCCTTAAGTTATTAGTGATTTCTTTTAAATTATTGGTGATTTATCATTAAATTATTTATGATTTATTATAAATTTATAACTAATTTACTATTAATTTACTGATGATTCACTAAAAAGTTATCAATGATTAACTAATTTATTACTAAATTATCACTGGTTTACAACTAAATTATTAGTACTTTACTATATGTTATTAATAATTTACTACTAAATTATTAATTTACTACTAAATTATCAATGATTTACTCTTATATTTTTATATATTTACTATTATGTTATAGTTAATTTACTCCTTATTATTATTGATTTACAATTAAATTATTTATGATTCACTATCGAGTTATTCTTTACTTATATTAAATTATGTATAATTTATTATTATATTATTACTGATTAACTATTATGTTATCGATGGTTTATTACTACGTTACATTAATTTACTTTTATGTTTTCAATGATTTACTACTAAATTATCAATTTTTTACTACTAAATTATCATTTACTTACTACTAAGTTTTTATGATTTATTATTATCAATTAATTATTATTAAACTTAAACTGATTTACTATTAAATTATTGTTAAGTTATCATTAATTTATTATTAAGTTATCAACAATTAACTACTAAATTATTAATTTTTTTTGTTAAGTTATCCTTAATATAATACTATAATAGTATGCATTTATAACTAAATTATAATTGATTCATCATTAAGGTATTATGTATATATTATGTTCTAGTTTAAAATGACTTGAAACACATAAGTAAATACTCTTAATTTATCATACGTAGTTTAACATGTAATAATAAGTTAAAATCATAACTTTTTATACTAATGCAAGTATTAAAATTAAATTAAATAACTATATAATATATATATTAAGTTAATATTTCTAAGATATTCTTCAAAATTTTCAATTCATGATAAAATAGTACATATTACGATAAGTTTTATTGATAATTTGATTGAATTATTAGTATATATATTTCATACATGTTATTGAAGTACAATTGCATGTAAAAGATTGAAAATTTTGTAATATTATGCCACCAATGGAAATAATAAACTTTGCCTTATATTTCTATTTTTAAGTATACAATTTTGGGTAAAAATTTTGTTATATATATGATAAAAGTAATGAGAACTAATTTACTAAATAAAATTTATAAAAATAAAACAAACAACAATTTTAAAATATTAAATTCATATAATTACCTTCCTGTTCTTCATAACAAAATTTTCTACTAAATAAAAAGATGGTATATTTTTAATATTACTTTATTCTTATTATTATCATACAAAATAACTTTTTTAATATTTTGATATCAATCAACGTTTCTATTCAGAAAGAATAAAAAATATTTTGCATTGTCTATAAGAAATTTCTTCTAATAAATAAAAGGGTTATATATATTTTTAAATGTTTCTTCATTCTTATTACCATAATTAAAATTGAATTTTTTGATATTTTAATGTCAATTAACTTCTTCATTTTGAAATAGTAAAGAATATCATAAGGAGTCATAACATTTCAAATAATATTTAATTCTATGTTGTCTTCATGAATGAGTTTGAACTATAATATGATTTCTTTCAAATGAAATGTTTAAATTATTTCCTTTAACCTATATAGCCAACTTGATTAACAAATGAATGATTATAAACTCATTGATCTAGATTAATATTTTTATAAAATGAATTTTAAAATTCTAAAAGAGAAAAAATCTTTAATCTTTGCAAAACTTTGACATAAAAAATTTCTTTTAAAATTATCATTAGTATCTCTATCACTTTTATACTTAAATTTTTATTGTGTTATATTCTTATTCTATTTTAAAATTTATTATTTGTGTCATAAAAGTATAGTTAAAATAATATAAATTAACCAATTCAAACTTGAAACAATTCAAAACTCAAATTGAGTATAAATAAATTTTTTACTTATTTTAAATTTTAATTTAATTAAAAATAATAAAATGCACATAATAATAAAAATGAATTAACTTAACTCAATTTCAATTGATTTTAAAAAATCAATAACTTAATAGTTATTTAAAAACTGAAATGATTGAATATAACAAAAATTCGAATTGAAATAGTAATTTAATCAAAATCCAATATTAGTTATACAAATTCGATAACAATTTAAAAGTTCTTTATTTAAGCTTTTTCCTTCATCTTTAATGTTTAATTATTTATTGTATTTGTGGTTAAATTAGTTAATTAATTTTAAAGGTATTTCTAAAGTGAAATTATAATTTTAAGTAACTGAGTATAATTCTTTTTTATTTGAATTTAGAACAATTTGAATCCAACTTTTTAAACAAAAAGAACCATGTATTAATTATTAAATTAAATTTGCTCAAGTATATAAATGAATAATTAAGTACACTATGAATAAAAGTAAATAAAAAAACTTGACTTAACCTAATTAGTTGGTCATCCTAAGTCTAAAATTCAACTCAAAGTTATAAAAAATTAAAATTCAAAATGATTAAACTCTTAAATACACATTTCAGTAAAGATTTATCTAATGAATTTTGCTAATAAATGCTATTAAATCACTTTTAAGTTTAGTTAGATTATAATTTATAATAATTTTTTATTTTAGATGTAAAGTGATAATTAATTTGATAAATTTCAATTCTTTTGGATAAATATTACCTAATATGACAATCTTAAAAATTTTGATACAACAATTAAAATTCTTGAACTGATATAGAAAAGAGAAAATGAATGAGTATGCAATGTTTCTTCAAATAAAAGAGTTTTATATTAATTTTAAAGAAATTTGAAATCAATATATTTATATATTTTTCATTGAAGTATCATATATCACTAACCTTCTTTGTCATGTAGAGAAGATAAAGTTATGCATAGCTAATCAATCTTTCGTAGAGATAGCAACCCAATTTGTTCTCAATGGGTTTTGACTCGACCCAATCTTTTAGAGTCGATTTTTTTTTTAAATCGGGTTTTGGGTCGGGTTGGGTTAGGTAATTGTAGAATAAAAGTCAAAGTTAGATTTTAGGCAAATTTACCTTGACTTGACTAGGTGTATATATATAATTATTTTTTAATTAATTACTTAAATTTATATTTATATTAAAAAATATTTTATATTAAAAAATAAATATTTTATTAATTTTAGGTTAAATCAGATCAAATATGATTTTGCATAATATCGTGTCGGGTCAGGTTGGGTTGGGGTCGGGTATAAAAAAATAAAAAAAATCATTGGGTCGGGCTGGATTCGAAGCGAGTAAAAATTTACCTCGACTTAACCTATTGCCATCCCTAATCTTTCGTCTTAATTTTCTATTTAGAATAATTTTCCATTGGTGCTTCCATCAATTGAATGTAATTGTATGTTCTATCAATTAAAAGCTTAATTTTTTATTTAAAAAAATTTAGTATATAAAATATTAAAATATATATTTTTTAAAAAATAAAATAAAATAAATTTCCAACCTTGGTATTTGTTGTATTTTCTTTAAAAATTTCAATTCTAAGAATAATAAATTTGTTATGTAATACCTATACAATCTATAATAATTTCATTTTTAAAATCAACAACATAAATTTTTATGAACGAATGTAATTTTGACGTAAATACATTCAAAAGATAGTTCCAATGAATTTTATTATACCTTTAAAAAAATTATAAAAAATAATTAATTTTACTTCACTTGATAATTTTTTACTTAGAATAGTTCATGTTAGGTCGTTCAATCCTTTGGATGACAGAAAAGTAAGTAATTTACTCATAGTTGTTAATTTCATTTCAATACCAACCAATAGTTATATCAAAATACATATACCTTAAGATGTTTTTCGTATCAGATTTGGTACTAGATAATATCGATTGTTTTCATTAGTTTCGGCCTATTTTGGTGAGTTTTGGTGATTTGGTCAGTACATGAATGTAAAATATATTTTGTGATTTTTTACTTTTTTTTGTTATTTAATTATTTTTAACCTAATAAAAATAAAATTAGTTGACAAAATAACCCTTAAAAGTTAAATTTTTTTATTTTTTATTTTAATTTTTTTTATAATTAATTTTTTAAAATCAAAGTTTATAAGTATTTCATTTTTTTTTCAAGAAAACAATTATACTCCTTTTATAAAGTTTAACAATTATAAAACTTTGGTTAATTTTTTTCATCTCTTTGTTTTTATCTTAATATTTATATGAAAAATACTTATTTAAATATCATATGATAATATTAAGTATTTAAAAATATCATGAAAATTTTATGATATTATTTGTTATGCTTTTAAACTTATTTATTTGATTTTTGAATATATTGCATATTTATTTTGTAGATTATTAATAATATTATAATGCATAAGTTCATATATGTTTATACATATATTTGTACTCAATCGAAAAATCCAAAATAATATATTGAAATAATCGGTACCGATATATACTATTTAAAAAAAAATTAAAATGTTATCCGGTATGATATTAACAATATTGAATTTACTACAATTGAGAAAAATTAAATAATCTTGATATATAAATAAATAATAAATATGCATATTAAGATAAAAATTAAGAGAAAATTAAATAAATTATTGTTTCAATCAATATGAATAATTCTTATGGTAATTAGAAGAGACTCAATCTTGAGTTATTAGTAACTCTATCACCTTTTAAATCATTTAATTCTACATGTGAAAAATTTAATTAAAGTATTCAATGAATCATGTAGTGATAATTGTTGGTAGAGGGGATATGATTAATTTTTATTGTTCATGGGAATAACAATTATAAAAATTTAGAGAAAAGAAATATAACAAGAGAAATTAATTATAGAGGTAAGACTAACAGTAAAAATTATTTATTAAAAAATTATTTCAAGGGACTAAAAAGATTAATTATGTTATCAATAATCAAATGATCAATTTATAAAATATATAAATAATAAAATCATTAACATATATATATAGTTAATATATTAAAACAAAAAATTGAAAGATAAACAATATAAAATATGCTTCAATAACTTAATTATAGGTTATTTTTAATGAATTTATTTATCGACATAAACTACATATACAATTGTTTTTACAATAACTAAATAAACAAATTCCATACAATTGTTTTTATTTCTATGTATATTAAGTTTTGATTTAGTTCTATTTATATTTTTATTTGATATAAAAAATCATTTTACTTATAAAAAAAGAGTCTAATAATTAAAAAAAATCATTTAAATTAAAATTTATAAAAAATTACTAATGATATTTTAATCAATCATTTTTGATATTTTTTAAATTAAAATTTTATTAAGAGCTAATAATAATAAAAATTCTTTTAAATTAAAATTTATAAAAACATTTATTAAGTATATTTTAACCAATCACTTTTAATTTTTTTGAAATTAAAATTTTAAAAAGTTTAATTTTACGTAAACTCTATTTGTAATTTTTGTTGATTTAAATTAAATTTAAATAAATTAATAAAGTTATATATTTAAAGATATATTTGTTAAATTAAAAATTTATAAAAATATTTAAATCGATTATTGTTAACATTTTTATAGTTTATATTTTTAAAATTTACATTTTTATATTTAGATGATAAGTTTAAACTATTTTAGTAGGGATTAGTGTGGGATATTTGAAACTGCATTGTTCCGTGGAATATATAATTTGGTGGGCCTTCACAAACACAGATGAACAAAGTTAACATGAGCAAACTTTTTCAAACCGGAAGGGAGTAAACCATTGTCTAGCCAGCACAGCCCCATCATCTTTATGGTTTTGTTCGGTTGGTTCGATTTATTATTTTTTAAAATTTAAAATTTTGTATTTTTATATATTATTTTAATAAAAAATTTAATTTATTTAAATAAATTTATATATAAAATAATTATTTTTATTTTATAAAAAATTAAAAAATATATAAAAATTAATAAAAATATATAATTCAATCATAATTTAATATATTTATTTAATATTTAAATTTGATTCGAATTAAATAAAAATATAATTTAAATGAAATTAAATATTATAATTTTAAATTAATTTTTTATTAAAAATTTTTTTTTTCACATCCTTATTTGCTGACATGCAATCTTTTTGAGTCCGGCGTACAGATTTCGGGTTTGGTTTTGAGCAAATCCGAAGTCTCTCTCTTTTTTTTTTTTAGTCTAATATAAAAACTCTTTTGTTTTTGTTCTCCTCTAAAAGCCTCACCACTCTCTCTCTCAATCCCAAAAACCCTGTTTCTAATACGAAACCAACATCCTCCCTATCTGCCGCCGTCAGTCAACGACCATCAGTGTTAAAAACCCTCAAAACTCACCAGAATCTTCCTTTTGGCCTCCTCACCCTTGCAGAGAACTACTAATGCACTTGATAATGATAGTCTAGTTCCCATTATTTTAGCTTTGAATGGTTCAGCTTCTCAATGCTACTTTTTCCATCCTTTGGTAATTGTTATGGTATCCTTCTCAAGACGATTTAGGGCATGTGCATGTGGTCATATCAAATCCCTGTCCATGGTCCACTTCTACAGCACTCATGAAGCTTTCTTCAACAGTGGAATGTGGATTTTAGTCAATCAAGTGAAAGAAATTATAAAATTTCTGTTTGACATTGACGATGCAATATATGTTTTTAATTTCCATCATCATTTCTGTGGTTTTTTCCAAATCCACTTTTGTTTTTTTTTTAGTTTAGGAGCAGTATGTAACTATCTCATTTCAAATTATAAATAAACGTCAATTCAGTTGAAATTTTATGGATTATTTGAATTTTATTTGCGGATTTTTTAGACTTATAAATCGCTTTACTCACAAGGATTACAAGGGTAATCCACACTCACTTTAATTATGATAATCTTCTTTATGAACCTCTTTTCCTTCACATGGGGGAGAATATGGAGATCAAATATCATGTGCCTTAATGAATAAACAAAGGCAAAAACAAAGCGACAGGAGCATTTTAGTTGATGATTACTGTGATTTCCATGTTTTCCATAGCAAGTTTGTATGAAGTTGAAGTTAATAGGAGTATAGGAATATTATTATGCTTGAGATAAAACTGTATATGCATGGAAAAAGCAACACTGATGAGATCAAAGAAGGCAAGAAACCTGAAAAGGACAGCAAGTATCAAGGTAAAAGCTAGTGAGAGGTTGCGGACGGCTGAAGCAAGAGTTGGTGAGCTATATTCTATAATGGGTATATTTGACCGGAAAACCTGTCTCCAAAAGATAAACAATGTTGGCTTTTTTTATAACAATCTTCTAATCTTTTTCAATCACCAAAAAAATGAAACACATTTTAAGAGGTTGGTCATTGCTGATTTTCATCCATAGTTGGGCTGATTCATTTTTGTTTTTCAATTATGCATGGATTTTTTGGGTTTTATTTGATCAGAATTTTTTTGATATAAACTATCACAGATGCAATTTCTGGTGAAAGCTAAAGTACAATGTTCTCAACTTTGATCCAAGAAACTCATTAAACCTTTTGTTCCCAATATCTGCAGGCATTGAACATTGATGTTTTCGCATGCCAATGAGTGTGAAAGCATTGGCCATTGCCCCATGCTAAATGGCTAAAACATTTCTGCTACATTTCACCAACTTTTTAGCTTTGCAGCAATGGGACCGTACCACGAGACAATGGTCCTAAGGTGCTTAAACCAGAGTCATCATCTGTCATTTCTTGTTCTTTTGCTTTCCCCCATAATGCAGCATAAAGACCAGCAGTTATGATCACAGCTCCAATGGCACTGCAAAATTAAGTTTGATTCAGGCCCGTCAACTGTGATTATAAAACGATTGACCAAACAAAGTAGAAATGTTTAACATGTTTGGATGATATAAAGGGAGAGTTTTAGTACCTTCCCAAATACACTTTTTCACCAAGGAATATGGCACTCATAACATCTGCTATGACAATTGAAGTTGGCTTGAAAATTGCAACAAACACAGGCCCCTTCAGGCGTACGCCCCATGTGTGAACAACAGTGCTAAATGAGGATCCAAAAAGTCCCTAAACAAGTAGTGCGGAAGAAAGTTACATTCAGATACAGAGATACTGCAAATTATGTAGTTGAACAATTGCAATTGGTTACTATTATTACCGAGTATAGGACTGCAACATCTGCTATACTAGTTGTTAGTCTCCAAGAGCTCAAGTTTGGCTCTGCTAGTAAGCCTATTGGTAGAGATATAAGGGTCACAGACAAGTTGTAAAAGAAAATTACAACAATTTCTTCTGGATATATCTTCATCACTTGGGACTGTAAAGTGCTATTAAATTCAAGTTTAGTTTTATGCAAGATATTACAGAATTCATGGTGGAGCTTGGAAACATATTTTTTACCTGAATAATATACCAGAATGAATAAAGAAGATATGAAACAGCTTCTAGGAGGCCTCCGATGATCCAATTTGATTGAGATGACCACAGAGGCCATTGAAGTAAAACAGAGGAAACAATTTTGGGACCTTTGTAGAAAACAATCACTAATGCACCAGATATTGATGTAATGGTGCCAATGATTTTAGCTTGAGTACTTGGACTTCTAAATGCTACTTTTTCCATCCTTGTTATGACATGTCCAAAGACAGGAGACAAGAAAAGGACTCAGGAAACTAGCTCAAGCATAGAAGGTTCATAAACATTAAACAATAGCATAACTGAAGAAAAACCAGGGAAGAGGGAAGAAACCTGAATAAGACAGCAAGTATGAAGGTAAAAGCTGGTGTGACGTTGCTGATGGCTGAAGCAAGAGTTGGAGAGCCAAGTTCTATACCTCTATATGAGCATATCATACCTGAATACCTGTCTCAAAAAGATAAAAATCATGGGGTTTTTTTTTTCTTTCTTTCTCACTATAAAAAAAATAGTATGTCAAATGAATTGAAGAAACAGAAATTTACTGATTTATGTGCAGAATGGAGTGCTTCAATACATACCCAAGAATTGCAAGAAGGCATATTCTAGAGATGAGAGGGAACTTCAAGGGAGGAAGCACTGTTTGTCTGCAGACATCAGACAAACAAAGAAGATATGTGAGAGAACAACTTTTAAAATGAAATTCTATGAAAATATACATTTATTCATTGATTATTAGAAGAATTAAAAGAGAAAAAGACCTATTAAAGAGGAAGATTAAAGGGAGGAAAACAAGGGTGCCTAAAACATAAGAGTAGGCGATGAAGACGTAGTAGCTCAACCCCTTCAATGAAGCAGCTTTGAATAGAATGCTTATGACTACATTGGAACACTCTACTGCAACCATGGCTGTGCATGGTAGGACTTCCTTGTAGCCATATCTTCTTGCCATCTCCATCTCTATCTAACATATCATTTTAATTAGTTTTCCTGTACTATCATATATTCCCAACACCAAAGGAGTTGATGAAGAATGATTGGACTGAATGTGGTTTTGCTCAAAAAGATTTTCTGATTCCCATGAATATATAATTGATCAGCACATCATTTCTTTTTTCTGTTTATTAAATTTTTAGAGTTTTTAGATGGTCAGATTGTTTACAAAAAAACGTTACCATAAAGTCAGCTAGAACTGTTGACAATGTGGAAAATGGTTAAACAAACTTGTTCATCTTAGTCCTGTTTCATGAAGCTATGCATGATCACACCTATTATACCAATTCAACCAGGAAACCAATCAGATTGTTGGAAAAATAAACTGATTGGGAAACCTTTGAATTCTGATGGTTTAATCATATTCATTTTTCAAACAGATATGAAGAGTATCTTCTAGGATAGGTAGGATTCTATCAGTCATTTGAAAATGCTTGATTATTTAAGTAATAAAAAAAAAACATGTGATGTTTTTATGTACTTTTCTAAAACCAACAAGAAAATAATTTAAACTATTAGAATTTACTTAAATAATTATAAAAAAAACTATTAGAATTTACTTAAGCCGCATTTGGACTATGTTAAATGCCATGAGAATGGCCTATGCTTATAGCTAGCTCATATTAGCAAAAATAATACATATATCCTGATTACATATATTGTGAAGATTTATACTAACCTGCAAGGTATTGTCATTTTGTGAAGATTTATACTAACCTGCAAGGTTTTGTCATTTTGATTCGGAATTTTTATGATTTTTATGATTTTTATGATTTTATCTCACAAAAAACGTTTCACAAGTTGTGAATGCAAGTTGCCATATGTATAATATAACATAGCCTCCCAATATTCAGACGTGAGATTGGGGCAGTACATCTATTATACCTGAGAATGTAAAGAGTCTTTCCCAGGAGAATGACAGCCACGAAAACAAACATGCCTGATGCTTTTAAAGAAAAACAATTCAGAAAACACAAATACCCTGGAACATAATAAGCAACTTCTAAACTACCTAGTCTCATATCCACCTGAAGACGATCCTTCCTTACATTGTTGGAGGGCCCTTCATCTCTCTTTAGCAGGTTCAACTGATTTATTAAATAGAAAAGGTTGTTGACCCAAGCTGTCATTGTCAATCCCATGAAGCGAAGTGTCGTTCAAGCAAAGAAACAAGCTAAATTCTCGACTTTGATCAAACTTATTGGTTATTTTGTTTTCAAAGGCATTGAACAAATTCATTGATATTTTAGCATTCAAATGAAACGAGGGTAGAATCATTGAACAATGCGGTAAACAATATTGTTTTCCTGTAAGAACTTTTGTGCTACATTTCTTCACAACAAAGGGACCTTAGAACCGGACAAGAGTCCAGAATCATCATCAACAGTCCTCTCTTCTTCTTTAGCTATTCCCCGTAATACAGCATAAATCTCAGCTGATAAGATCAATGCTCCAATGGCACTACAACATTAAGATTGAATCAGGCTTGTCAATTTGTGATTATAGAAGGAATGGCCAACCAAAGTAGGGATGTGCAGCATGTTGGAAATGATTCTACTAATTATAACTGGTAATATTAAAACACTTAAAAGAGATAGTTTTAATTACCTTCCAAGATACAATTCATCAACAAGGAATATGGCACTCAACTGCTGCAATGAAAGTTGACAATGGCCTGAATATTGCAACATACCCAGGCCCCTTCAGCAGTACATCCCATACGTGTTCACAACAGCTGAAGGATAATGCAAAAACTCCATAAACAGGTAGAAAAAAAAATTAGATGTTGCAAATTATCTGCTTACAATTGTAGTTGATACGAATTTCTTACCGAGTGTAGGACAGAAGCAGCTACAATACTTGGTGGTCTTAGTCTCCAAGAACTGATGTTTGATTGTGCTAATAAGCATACGGGTACAGATAAAATGACCAAAGACAAGTTCTACATGAAAGTTACAATCATATCTTCATAATTTGGGACTGTAATAATTCGATTTAGTTATATGTGCAAATTTTCTAGCTTAGAAGATAATTATAATTGAACTGTCTTCTAGAAGATCCAGGAGTAGTGGTCTTTTGGCCTGGTGACTTGAACTACTAAATAGGTATATATCTTACCATAAATACTTTAAAAACTAATTAAATATAATAAAATAAAGGAAACTAATGAAAATCTTTTGGGTTAAATATAAAAAGATCTCTAAATTAAAATTAAATAATCATGAAAATTATAATTAATTAAGTTCTCCAATATTTATTTTTTATGTAAGTAAATTTTTAAACATTTATTTGCATTCAGTTGAACATTCCATTGAATGCAAATTGATGATTATGGTTAATCAATTTTCATTCAATAAGGTTCAGTCGAGGGGAGGGGATTCTTGACGCAATGATGAAGTTACTGTTACGTGACTTGGAAGTCATAGGTTTAACTAATGAAAACAATTTTCTCGAATGCCCCACATGGCACCCGTTCAACATTTTCTGGAATGTCGCATAACAGGAGTTTTACGTACCGAGTTATTTTTTTAAGGCTCAATTAAATTAAAAAATAAATATTTTTTTGGATGCGCATAACGAAAACTTTATGTACGGATTTATTTTTTTTAAAGATTTAATTAAGTAAAAATAGTTATTCGAAGACTTAATTATTATAATAAAATAATAAAGATTCGGATATTATTTAATTTTAATTGAGAAATTTTTTAATATATGAACCAAACGTCATAACTTTCATAAGCTTTCACGTATTTCCGTTAGAATAGACACGGTACAAACAGGCATGCTTCATGAATGGTTTAAGCCAACTAAAAATGAACCAACATTTCTTAGCAATCCTGGAAAAATGCAATCGTCTCAACCATCTGAAGCAACTCCAATCCTTCATCATCACCCACGGCCAGTCCCAAACCCAATTCTACATCTTCAAGCTGGTTCGTTTTTGCACACTCAAGATTTTCGACTTTTATTATGCTCGCTTACTCTTTGATCATCTTTATGCTCCCAATATTTACTTATACACTGCCATGATTACAGCTTATGCCTCTCACCCCAACTATCATACCTCTGCATTTGCTCTTTATCGTCACATGCTTTGCAAGGGGAAGCCAACTCCCAACCATTTTATTTACCCTCATGTCTTAAAATCAGCTCCTGAGGTTTTGGAGTCCAATGGCACAAAACTGGTTCATACCCAGATTTTTAAATCGGGTTTTGGACAATACCCAGTTGTTCAAACGGCTCTTGTTGATTCGTATTCGAGGACTGGTTCTTGCATAGAGATTGCAAGGGATTTCTTTGATGAAATGTCTGAAAGGAATGTTGTGTCTTGGACTGTTATGGTTTCTGGGTATATGAGAGTAGGGGATGTTGGAAAGGCTGTTTTGCTTTCTGAGAAGATGCCTGATAGGGATGTTCCTTCTTGGAATGCTGTTATCGCAGGGTGCACACAGAATGGATTCTTTTCTGAGGCTATTTCACTCTTGAGAAAGATGGTAATGGGGGGAAAAGAGGCAGTGAATAGGCCTAATCAGGTTACAGTTGTTTGCAGTCTATCAGCTTGTGGAAACACTGGGATGTTTCAGCTTGGTAAATCAATCCATGGTTTTGTTTATAGAAATGGTATTGGTAATGATTGTTTAGTAGCTAATGCTTTGATAGATATGTATGGGAAATGTGGGAGCTTAGAAACAGCAAGAAAGATTTTTGAAATGAGTTCCAAGAAAAACTTGACATCTCGGAACTCTATAATCAATTGTTTTGCACTACATGGACAAAGTGACAAGGTAATTAGTGTGTTTGAGGAGATGATCAATTGCGGAGTTGATGATATAAGACCTGATGCGGTTACCTTTATCAGTCTGTTGAATGCTTGTACACATGGAGGATTGGTTGAAAAAGGTCGTGCTTATTTTGAGTTGATGACTAGTAGTTACAATATTGAACCTCGGATTGATCACTATGGTTGTTTAATCGATCTTCTTGGTAGAGCAGGAAAGTTTGAAGAAGCATTGGAAGTCATTAACTGTATGAAGATGGAACCTGATGAGGTTGTTTGGGGCTCATTGCTAAATGGGTGTAAAATATATGGTCGCTCGGATTTGGCAGAGCTTGCAGTAAAAAAACTGATTGAAATTGACCCAAACAATGGTGGTTATGGCATCATGTTGGCAAATTTATATGGAGAGTTAGGGAAATGGGATGATGTACGCAAGTTAAGGAAGAAGTTGAAGGAGCAGAATGCTTATAAGACACCGGGTTGCCGTTGGATTGAGGTTGATAGCGAAGTTCATCAATTCTATTCTGTTGATAAGACACATCCTAGAACTGATGAGATATACAATATCCTGGAAAGCATGGTTGGTTTGTACTAAGCTCATATTGTTTTCACAGTTTTGCCAGCCTGGAACATCGGCTTTACAGTCCAAATCTTATTTTTGACACAGTGCTTTTACGAACAAGATTGTCACAGATATACCAGAAAACTTTTCTTATATTCTTTTATTTTTGACAAACTTTGGCTCATATGCCAAGAAGCCTTCAAGGGAACGGGTTTAATGGCAATATATTTTACTGGAATGGAAGCAAGAGCTTGCTTTAGCTGTGGCAGAACTTCAGTGGAACTTGTGAAACTGAAGGTTATTTCCATCATGCCCCAATGGAATTTACAGGAAAGAAGAAGAAAAGTGCCGTACCAACTACTTTTATAGAAGTACAAGATGTGCAAATCAGAACTGCTCGCTCTCTAGAGGTGCAAGGGGAAATAGATGATTCCAAGTAGCTGAATGACCCTGTTTTTTTTAATATACTTCTTTTTTTTCACAACTCATACTCATTGGGGTCATTTGTTTTATCGTCCTCTTCATCACTTTGAACATCAAGATTATCAACTTTTGTATAATATCATCAGTTTACGTAATACGAGACTAGACACCTACAAAGCTGTCCCTCACTCTTTTTCTTGATGGAGTCATTTTTTATATGTGAAATTGATATCTTTTAACTTTGACAAGATATTAGACCCACTAATGGGTAAAGGTGATCTCTTCACCTCTTCAGTTCCATCAAAGAGATGTTTTTAAAATCTAAATCGATGATTATCATCTAACCATCGATGATGTCTCATATAACAGAACTTTCTACCATTACGTAACCATGTCAAACATGTTTGTGCAGCACAATATGGACAAGCATAATTACTTTTTGTACTCTAACCAGATAAATTCACATAAGTAAGAAAATCATTGATAGTTCATAATAAAGCAGCATGAATATTGAAGTTATCTACTTTTAATACATCATAGGTCTCAACTCTTTTCCATAATTACTTTAACTCTTTAATAAGAGGTTATAAGTAGATGTCTATATCATTACCCGAACATTTTTTTCTGAGAATTATCATAGATAATATAAATGACTGTTGCTTCATAAGAATCCATGGTGGCAAATTGTAAGGAATCAATACAATTTGCCAAGTACTATAAGAAGTACTCATCATTTTAAACGAGTTGAATCCATAAGATGCTAGTCCAAGCATAACATTAAAGGATCAGATGTAAAGTCTGGAAACTTAGAATGAAATAACTTTCATGCAAAAAATTTATAAGATACCTCAAAGATCCATCATCCGTCCGTTTTTCATGATGCCACCTCATTGAATTTACAATTTTAGAAGACATGTAGAGTCATTAAAGTCTTGGTATTAATAAAAAATAGCGTAAAACCTTAACAAGCTTCTTTTTGACACATACTTCGTCACCATCATCATTCAACTTTTCATCGAGGTTTTTGTCGACCCAACGAGAAATACCACACAAATGATAAAATTTTTTATTTTTTCTATCCCCCAATACAACATGCAATCATTGGGACAACTATGAATTTTTTCATATCCGAGATCCAAATCATTGATCATCTTCTTTGATTCCTTACAAGATTCAAAAATTTTTACAAAAGAAAATATTTCTTTCATAAATTGTAATAATAAAGTCAAAGAGTTTCCCATCCAACCACATAAGCATTTCAAGTGAAAAGACAAACATAGAAAGACAACCTTGAATGCTTCGATCCCTTAAAAAGTTCTTCATTCATCTCCTCAAGCAACCTATAAAACTTTGATACTTCTCCTCTAGGTTGTTGGTCACGTACATCTATCCCAGGTTCATCAAATTCATGCATTTCAATATTAGATTGATTAAATCCTTCATTTTGGGGAGAAAGATTATAAAAATTTTGGTTATGAATGTTAAAAGCATCTCGCAATATGCCTTCAATATCATTTGTTATAAAAAGATCATGTTGGTGATAGGGAACTTTTGATGTTGAAAGAACTATAATGGAAGACCTTGATGGTATAGACTCTCCATGAAAATATCAATTAACATATCTTGATAGAAATCCAATACAAATTAAATGTTCATAAACAACTTGACGCATTTGCCATTCGATATTACTACATTTCACACATGGGCATAATATCATATTATCTTCACTTATATTCTTAAATGCAAAATTAAGAAAATTTTTCATTCCATCTTTGTACTCTTGACTTAATCTTGACTTTTGCATCAAACTCTTATCTATTTATTAGTTGCTACATTATCAGACCAAATATATATAAATAATTAATATGAAAACGAAAATGTACAATACTTAAGTTTACTATGTTTTAAACAAAAGATAATAATAAGACCAATATTTACATAAAATGAGAACCCCTTGTTGTGAAGTAATTTATCAGCTACCAGATATTATGATTATTAAAACTCTACTACTAACGTAAATAGTACCCAAGAGTATTTGTAGTTGGGGTTGACATAAGGTGAAATAAGGTGGGTTTTGGAGAAAATTTTTTTCTCCAAAAAGAAAATTACAAATTGCAAAAGCTAAAGGAATAGTTGAATGAAGTAAAAGCTAAAGTCAATAAGTAATGAATAGTCAAAATAGGGTTCTAAAAGATAATGTTTGAATACTAAAAGTGAAAGAAAAAGGAAAGTAAATTGTATTTGATTTGGAAAGAGAAATAGTATAATAATAAAGATAAAGCTTGAAGTTAGTGATTAGATGCACTAAATTTGAGAAGATTTTTATTGGACAAGATTATTGAAGACGTTTACTAACCAAAAATACCAACAATAATTCTCTTCTAAATATTTTTTGAATATATTATAGGCGCCTTGAACATATCATCACATGGATTTTAACATGGTTATTGAAGGCGTATATCTAAGAACAACACCTTTAATAATTCTTATCACAATTTGTAGATAATTAGTGAAGGCATTTTTTACGTTAATAGCTTCAATAATTTGCTTAACAAAAGTTTTTCAGATTATTAAAGGCATCTTTTATTATGAAACACCTTCAATATACTATGATGGTTATAGAAGGCATTTATTCGAAAAGGCACCTTCAATATACTTTTAAACTTAGTAATCCATTACTGAAGGTGTTTGTTATTAACAAATGTCTTCAAAATTTTCTCACTAAAAATTTGAGAAATCATTAAAGGCGTCTTCTATTGTAAAATGCATTCTATATACCGTCACACAAATTTTAACACAGTTATTGAAGGTGTATATCCAAGAAAGTCATCTATAATAATTCTTATCACAATTTGTAGATAATTAATAAAGCTAGTTACAGATAATAACACCTTTAATAATTTTTAATTTTTTTTTTAAATTATTAAAGGCGTCTTCTATTATGAAATGCCTTCAATATACCACGATGGTTATGGAAGACATTTATTCAAAAAGGCATATTCAATATACCTTTAAACTTAGTAATCCATTACTGAAGGCATTTGTTAATAATAGACGCCTTTAAAATTTTTTCACTAAAAATTTTAGAAATCATTAAAGGTATCTTTTACTGTAAAATGCATTCTATATACCACCACATAAATTTTAACACGGTTATTGAAGGCGTATATCAAAGAAAGACGCATTTAATAATTTTTATTATAGTTTGTAGATAATTAGTGAAAGCAGTTGCAGATAATAATGCCTTCAATAATTTTCTTAAAAAAAAATTTTTTTATTATTAAAAGAGTCTTTTATTATGAAACGCCTTCAATTTACCATGATAGTTATAGAAGGTGTTTATTCAAAAAAGTACCTTTAATATACTTTTAAACTTAGTAATCCATTACTGAAGGCGTTTGTCAATAACAGACGCTTTTAAAGTTTTTTCACTAAAATTTTTGGGAATCACTAAAGGCGTTTTCTACTGTAAAATACGTTCTATATACCGTCACATAAATTTTAACATAGTTATTAAAGGCATATATCCAAGAAAGATGCATTTAATAATTCCTATCACAGTTTGTATATAATTAGTGAATGTGGTTGCAGATAACAACGCTTTCAATAATTTTCTTAAAAATTTTTTTTCGGATTATTAAAGACGTCTGTTATTATAAAACGCCTTTAATAATTTGTTATAAACTTTGGAAATCCATAATTATTGAAGGTGATTTTTTACTGAAAATGCCTTTTATAATTTTTAAAAATTAGAAAAGGTATTTTTTTTTTTATAAAAAATGCCTTTAATAAGTTGGTTGGATAATTTTAAAGGCTTATAATTAAAGGCATCTTTTTTGTTAAAAATGCCTTCAATAATCTCCAATAAAACTTTCAGGTGATTATTGAAGGTGTTGTTCTATGGAAATACCTTTAATAATTAATTTTATATTCATTTCCCTACCTTGAATATAGGAATTTACAGAGGGTTGGTACACAGAATGATTAAAAGCTGTGTTATTCAACCAAACAAACCAAACCTTTAAACACATTTCTAGTAGATCATTGATTTTTTTTCTCCCATTCGTCATCACCGACCTTCATCAAATCACCGCTGCGAACCTCTGTTTTAATCAATAAGTTTTTTTTTTAGTTTATTATATTATTTACAATATTCAATAGAGAATTTTTGTTTTTTCAATTCCTTAATATTGATATATGTGTTTATATATTTTCATTAACATCACCGTCAGCATAGTCATCCAAGATTCTATTCATATTGCAAGTATACTGTTTTTATGTAGAACGCATTAAATATTATGGTTTGCTAAACCTTGTTAACTGATATTGTATTGCCAAATGGTATTGTATGATATTGGGTGTCTAAATTATATTTCATGCTGAATGGTTTGCTAAACCTTATTGTTTGATATTATTTTGCTGAATGGGTTTAAATGAAATTGGGGGCTGAATCGTATGCTGAATGATGTTTCTGAGTGGTTTGCTAAAAGGTGTGTATGAGCACATTGCTGAATGGTGTGCTAAATGTTGTTTCTATATGTAGTATGGTATTGGTTGTATTAAATTAAATACAATGATCAATTTAGAGGGTCATATTATGTAATTTGTATAATTATGATCAATATTGTAGATATTATGGACTTCGAACAACATCATTCTCCTTCTAATGAACATGCAGAAGAAAAAAGTGTAGGCCAAAAAAGAAAAGGAAAGGGCCCACATAAACAAATCAAAGTGATTGACACAAAAATTTATGTTAACTTCAATAAAAATGGACAGCTTGTATCGGAAGGAGCTGCCAAGATGGCTACTCATATTAGAGCTATCGTCTGTCGAAGGATTTCAATTATGTATACCAATTGACGATGAGTTTTTGATGATCTAAAGGATGAGATATAGCAGTTCGTTGTGATATGTTTATTCAACTATTCGTAAAATTTGTTAAATAATCATTTAATTGAAATTCAATGTATTGATACTAATTGTGTTAACTTATTTAGGAACAGTTCAACTTCTTAATTGAGTGTAAAAAGATTGTGTTGCAATCTATTGGGAAAGCTTTCAGAGACTTTAAAAATAGATTGACAACCCAAAATATTTTACTGCTGACTAGTAAAGGTGATGTTTTGGCTATTTCACCTGCAGCATATGCAGATGCCATAAG